ACCCCCCCGCCGCCCAAACCCCCCCCCCCCCCATACACACACACACACACTGACATGTATCTGCATCAAACTGGAGCTGCAGTTGATCAGTGGACAAACAGACACTGACCACAGGTATGGGTGTGAAAATAAAATAAAAAACAGAAACTGATTTCAAGGTCACACTCACACACACACACACGTGTGTGTGTGTGTGTGTGTGTGTGTGTGTGTGTGTTGGCCTGTATCAGCTGAGGACAGCCTGCTGCAGCAGTAGCCTGGTCTGCCTCACACGCTGCACACTGATTGGATGAACACACGCTCCTGCAGTAAAAACCACACGCGTCTCTCAGCGCTGCCTCAAGCTTCAAAGAGCAGAACTGCGCCCGCGTTCATCCGACTGTGATTCCATCCGTCCTGACAAAATTAGAAGCTCCCTATTTAATTAGTAATTGGTGTATTACTACTTTTTTATTGCAGCGGCAGTCGTTAGGGCGTTTCATTAGTCAGGAGATAAAGCCATTAATAAAAGTGGGAAGCAATCAACGCAGGAGTCAAGTTTGTCATTAGCGTTAGCGCACTTTCTGCAACGTGCCTGGATTATCCTCCAATGAGAAGCGAGAGGCATTTGATCCAAAATGCAAAGAAGTTTTTTTAAAAAAAATATAATGTTCAAATAGGCTCAAAAATAATGACCCGAAGCATCTCTGTGTCCACCGTTCAATGTTCAGTACAAACATTTTACTGTAGTACTGTACTACTGTAGTACTGTACTACTGTAGTACTGTAGTACTGTAGTACTGTAGTACTGTTTAACACAACAGTAAAAAACAAAACAACCAAATAGTAATTTCAGACTTCAGCAGTTCCACAAACGAAGCGAATAAATTTAGAGATGAATGAAATCTAGTCACGGGCCGAAAGATGGGGCGTCGTGGTCCAGAAGTGGCCCCCAGGCCGTAGGTTTGAAACAACAGAAATAACAGGAGATTCAGATAAAATGTGACAGCTTTCAATGATTATCTCAATTAAAGTTTGAGTTTAATGGGATGAAACGTTTTAACACCGTGTTCTGTCCATCGTGAGGGTGAAGACACAGGACAGTGGACACTTGAGTGATGAGACAAAAGTCCAAAGTCCAAAGTCCAAAGTCCAAACCAAATCCATGGTTTCACCACAAATCACTTCCTGTACACCGTAGTCCGTCAACCGTCCTCCTGCTGTGACTGTCAAACCAGTCCGTAATTAAACACAAACAAATGAGTCCATGTGTGGCAGGGACTCAGAGACCCCCCCCCCTCCCGTCCCCAGTGAACAAACTGCAGTTCAGCAGCTTCACCACCAAATGAATCTCAGTATGTAGGGATGTCCGACACAAACTTTTTGCCGATATCCAATATTGTCCAAACACCTATTTTCTGATTCCGAAATATCAACCGATACCGAAGTACGCAGCTGTTTTTCCCCAAAACTATTATCACATATCTCTGACGTGGAATTAACATGTATATCTATCTATATGTATAATCTACATTGTATAAATGTAGATCTACATTTATTCCGATTCACCACTAGAGGCTTCCACTAATTAACATTGTCTGGACAAAAGACATTTTTTAAAGTATATTCAGCGAAAAGGCAACAACATGGGGCCAACAATATCGGTCGGCCGATGTTATCGGACATCCCCAGCTATAAGGTGCTGCATTTAGCACTGTAGCTAGTAGCCAACTAGAGAGCTCGTTAGGAAAAATGACGAGGGTTAAGTATTAGTCCAGTAATTCGTTAACCGTTAACGTTAAAGGCCTAACTTTTAAGCCGATCTTATCATAAAAGTTCCATCATTGGCGTCAGTGTCGTTCCACTCACCAGTGGGAATGCTCCTCCAGGGTCTTGACGGGCTCCTGGACGTTGCGGACGTCCCAGAACTTGACCTTGCAGTCATCTCCACAGCTGGCCAGGTAGTACTGACGGTTGGGGTTGAAGTCCAGGTCACGCACCAGCTGCCCATGAGCGTTCTCTATGCAGTAGATCTGACTGGAGAGGAAAGGGAGGGAGGGAGGGAGGGAGGGGGGGGAGGATAGTGGAGAATCCAGATGATTTAAAAGTAGGGAAAACAGGAGAGACAGAAACAGGGATTAGAATGGAGAGAAATAACAGAGACGATACGGAGAGCGTGGGACGGAATAACAAAAGGAACTATGATTCACAGGGTTCACACGAGCGGGAACATTCCCAGCCTAAATCAAAGCCTCCTCTGCGTCTGTGTCTGTCGGCTAAGGCCGGCCTCAATAAAGGAGCGGACGCCGACGGTGCTAAATTATAAAGGTAGGGGTGGAAACGGCGCGGCCTTCAGTTCCTGCTCCGCTCAAGTTCACAGAACGACAAAGGAAAGAAAAAGATTGTGGGTGCGGTTTGTCGCCATCTTCCAGTCCTCGTTCTACACCTGCTCCAAAATTCATTTCCATTTCCTGTTCTAGACAAATTTACTTCGTCATTTCAAATCTAACTACTGCGAAAAAATTTCAGAGCCGGTCCTGGCAGAGGCCAACGGCGCCATCTACAACCTTCCAAGAAAGTCACCGTGGGTTGTCTTTGTGTGTCGTTCAGGAACAACAGACCGTTGTCTGTAAAAGACGCTCGTGCATTTTAAACAATTCATTTCCAACTCCACTCTTTTTTTTTCAGTCCTTTTTAAACTCCACCTCATTTCCATACACAGCTGGCAGACATTTAAAGATGCAGCGTGAAACGCCTCCACCCAGAAAACACAAAACCATCGACACGTTTCACAGACGATACTGTAGAGACGGGCGGAATGTTAAACATTCAATGTGGAAAGTATTGATCCGATGTTATTGTTGCGTGGCCCCCTGGTGGTCGGCCAACCACTGTGGTGATCACATGATGAGCGGGATATATGAACAATCAGCCTTTGATGTGGTTTCACAAACTCTGCAGTGACATGTTCAAAGGTAAACGTTTGAATAATTTAAGGAAACACGACAAACAATTACCTTCTTGAAATAATACCAGAAACACTAAGAGTTAAATTAAGAAACTACGAACAAAATACGATATACCGCGATATATCTACAGTCACGACGATATACTGAGGTGTTGATATACCGCGATATATTGCGATACTACAGTCACGACGATATACTGAGGTGTTTTTTTCCCCCACATTGGAATCACTAGAAAGAAACAACTTTTAAACAACCTTTAATAATAATAATAATAATAATAATTGTATAATGTTTACGTGGCACTTTGGTGTGGCTCCCCAGGGTTCACCTCCTGGGCAAGTTTGAATCCTGGTCAGGGCGGTTGGTACCTGCCAGTTTAGGGGGGTTGGTACGGTGCAGTGTGATGTGGGTGGCGACTGCTGCCCCTGTGACCCGGTAACGGATAAGCGGATGAAAATGGATGGATGGAAATTTTTTCAAAAAAATTTTTTTGGAAACTTTTTTTCAAAAAATTTTTTTTTCAAAAAATATTTTTTTCAAAAAAGAAAAAAAAAATTTTTATCCAAAACATTTTTTTCTAAAAATTTTTTGAAAACTTTTTTTTGAAATTTTTTTTTTTTTTCTAAACTTTTTTCAAGTGGCACTTTGGCCCAGATGTCTCTGTCATCGGTGTGGAACCCCAGGGTTCACCTCCTGGGCAAGTTTGAATCCTGGTCAGGGCGGTTGGTACCTTCCAGTTTAGGGGGGTTGGTCCGGTGCAGTGTGATTTGGGTGGCGACTGCTGCCCCTGTGACCCGGTAACGGATAAGCGGATGAAAATGGATGGATGGAAATTTTTTCAAAAAAATTTTTTTGGAAACTTTTTTTCAAAAAATTTTTTTTTCAAAAAAGAAAAAAAAATTTTTTTGAAAAAATTTCCATCCATCCATTTTCATCCGCTTATCCGTTACCGGGTCACAGGGGCAGCAGTCGCCACCCAAATCACACTGCACCGGACCAACCCCCCTAAACTGGAAGGTACCAACCGCCCTGACCAGGATTCAAACTTGCCCAGGAGGTGAACCCTGGGGTTCCACACCGATGACAGAGACATCTGGGCCAAAGTGCCACTTGAAAAAAGTTTAGAAAAAAAAAAAAAAAATTTTTTTCCAAAACATTTTTTTCTAAAAATTTTTTGAAAACTTTTTTTTGAAATTTTTTTTTTTTTTCTAAACTTTTTTCAAGTGGCACTTTGGCCCAGATGTCTCTGTCATTGGTGTGGAACCCCAGGGTTCCCCCTGAAAACTATTATTTAATTATTGCAATTAATGATTTATTTTTTGTTTGTCAGTGCTTAGTGACAGGCAGAACAATCCATTACTCATCCAACAGATGGCCGCAAATGGCTATGAAAATTAAAAAAAAAAAAACTGCATCGAAAAAGATTAGTGTGTGACTTTCTTCAATTCCTGTGAGTATGACAGCGTTGTCTTCAACTAAACAGGCTGAGATTTTCACACAAGGTTTAAATTGAGAGTGAATTTGGGGATGGGGGGGGCGTGGGGGTGTGTGTTCAGGTATAAAATATGTGTCAATAAGTGTCAATATTTTCTTCCAGCCCGACAGGAAACGTGGCCATTAAATGTATAGAAGAGAAAAGATTGTAAACAAACAACATTTCTTCAGGATTAAAAAAAAAATGCTGAGAAAAAATTAAAACCTTTTGGTCCAATGTAGAGCTCAGAGCACCAGGAGAGGGAAGCTTTGTCAAAGACAGAAGTAAATCAAGTGGGATTGAAACAATCAAACACAAGGGAATTTACATAAAGCAGCAATTAAGTTGATTTCGAGCTCTGATGAAACCAGATATTTCCCGTTTCCTCTCCAGACGAGCCTGAAAAAGAAGCCAGGCTTCGTTTGACACAGTTTTGCTCAGCAGAGTGGAAAGCCACTGTGTTATTGCCCAGCTGGATGCCAGCAGCAGCAGCTAGCAGCAGCAGCAGCAGCAGCAGCTAGCTGACGAGCTAGTCACCCTGCTGATCACATAAGGCAATTAACATGCTAATTAAAAATCTCATTAAAATAAGGGAGGCAAAGGAGAATGACCTGGGGCAGACCGCTGGGCTTCAACTAGGTCAAGGCAACGGTGGGACCATGTGACAACACCAGTGTGTGTGTGTGTGTGTGTAATCAATGCAGCCACTACACAGCGACGGTGGAGGAGACATCTGGGACTTGAGTTTCTGACATTTTAAAAACACGTTCGACGACAGGAAACAGAAACTCCTCGGACTCAACAGGTTCCATGGGTTCAGTCTCATTTTCTAGCAGGAAATATTTGATTTTATTGAATGACTTTATGACGTGCGGTGAGACTGAACTCTGTGATCACAGTCACTTCTATTAAAGGACACTTCTGTTCTGCTGTTAGCGTTCAACATTTAGTGTCACCGTGAATCCAGACTGACTCTGTGTCACTCAGGGCCGCGGCCCACGCGGTCACAACAACAACAACAACAACAACAGTAGGTTTTACTGGTGCACGATGTCGCTACGAGTAACGAACTAGAAAAGACAACGTCACAGCCGGTGGTGATGAGTTTTGATTGGTTTAGAAGGACTTGTTGTTTTCTGTTTTATGTAAACGGATTGTTCTTACGAATGTCCTATATTAACATTTTTGCCGATATCCGATATTCTTCAAACACGTACGATTCCAATATCAACCGATATCTTTATACGTAGCCGTTGGCCCCAAAAGACAGAGTGAAAAGTCCCAGACACTGGTTTATCGGAGCTTCATTATCGGAGTAAAAACCAATAATGATTCTTACCAATGGTAGCTAATTCTGCTAATATCGGTCATCAGATCTAAAGGGACATCACTAATTTTACTGACTCCATTTCTAATCAACCAAGAAACGTGAGTTTACATCGTAAAACCTGGACTGGATGAACAGCAGATGATCATGACGATCGGTCGGTATCCATCACCAGGGACAGGTACCAGGGACAGGTACCAGGTACCAGGGACAGGTACCAGGTACCAGGGACAGGTACCAGGTACCAGGGACAGGTACCAGGTACCAGGGACAGGTACCAGGTACCAGGGACAGGTACCAGGTACCAGGGACAGGTACCAGGTACCAGGGACAGGTACCAGGTACCAGGGACAGGTACCAGGTACCAGGGACAGGTACCTGGTACCAGGGACAGGTACCTGGTACCAGGTACCAGGGACAAGTACCAGGTACCAGGTACCAGGTAGCAGGGACAGGTACCAGGTACCAGGTACCAGGGACAGGTACCAGGTACGGACCAGAGCCTGAGTCACAGACCCACACAGAGTCTTGAGACTTGTACTAATGTACTGCAGTAGAATGTACTGCAGTAATACCGCCTGGTACACACACAGTTTCTGTGGTCGATTTATAGTTTGTTTTCCAAAGATTCCTTCGTTCAACATCAGTGTTTTTCAGTTTCCTACTCGTAGCCAGCGTTTATCTACCCGTCTTCAAAGACTGCATGAACACCGATCCAGGTCAACGTCCTAAAAACGTCCACAGCAGACGCTGCTGCAACACCGTCGTCTTTGACTGATAACACCTCATCGACAAAGATCAACCGGAAGACGTTGGAGAAAAACGTTTGACAACACGTTGTTCAGACTTTGTGTAACTGAATAATTGAAGACGCACACAGTAACGACCGGTTGGCTGTCAGTTCCAGAGCCAACAGCAGCTGCAGTTCTAATTCTGAGCTGGTGAGCATGATTTATTTACAGTAGAGCCTTCCTCTCCTGAGTGTGGCTCAGGGGTAAAAGGCGTGACCCCGGGCTTCAGAGAGGCCGCTGTTGGACCCGGCCCGCCATGGAATGGGACACGCCTGCTGCGTGAAAAGGAAATGGAGCAGGAAATTGGGTTAGTTTGGCTTATTCCCTCTCTGGTGTCTCTGTTCAATCCCCTCCTTTAAACCCACTCTCTCTCTCTCTCTCACACAGGAAGAACGACGGAGACGGAGACGGAGACGGAGAGATGTGTACGTATAAGCTCTCCCTCTAAATGGCTAATAGAAGAGAGCCACGCTGCT